CTTGCCAGTATTCGCAAATCTATCACATCTGTCTGTGTGGGAAGAAGCGCTGAGCTCCAGGGACTATGGGACTGATGTGCAGGGAGAACTGGGATGGGATTCTTTCAAGCACTAATGTGCAGCGTGGGTTTTTGCCCTGGTGGTATATTGGCTCTGGTTCTTTTTATTATTCACTTCCTGTCATGAAAAAAAAAAAAAACAAAACAAACACAAACCATTTGCATGTCAGCATCAGAGGAAAATAAAGCTCATTTTCAACAGCTTTATCACAACAGAAGTAAACAGGCAGCTTCTGATTTCCCTGTGAAATCGACAAGGAAAAAAAAAGAAAAAAGTCTTTCCAATGTTAGCCATTGAAGAACCCTCTTTTGTTTCTTAGCCTATTTTTACTTCAAAAAGGAATATATCATAGAGAATTTTAGTACAGGTTGCAAAAGGGATCTTTTTCTTGTTTATTTGATCTGCAGAAAAGAAAAGACAAAAAAATCTTCAAACCAAGACAAAAAAGTCTTGCTCTTATCTCTGAAGGAAGTAGTAGCTTTTGGCTTTGTAAGTAAAATATATTAATATAAGTTTATAGTCAGAAAATTAGTAGTCAATACAATGATAAAGACAAAACCCTCTCATATGCAAGGTGTGAAAAAAAAAAATATTTCTGTCATGAAACACTTCTGCTTGAAAACAGGCTCTAACATAGGAACCAACATATTGGTTCACTGCTGTTTGTGCTCTCCCCAGGAAAGCTCTCTCCTTCGTGTCATGGCTACTGGGAAATAGGGGTTAATATTTTTTGCAGAGCATCTAAGAAAAAGAAGAGTGGGCTTCCTTCTTGATAGTTCAACATAAAAAGTAACTCTCAGAAAAAAATCACTATCCATTCTGGAAAGCTTCAGGTAAAGAACAAGAAATCCTTTTCACACAGTGGATCTATCTCTGGTGTGAGGTCCCAAGCAGATTTAGGAAGAAAGCATGTCCATGCTTTGTATATCTTTATTCTCAAGCCCTGTCAATTCTCCAACTTTCAGAAACTTTCACCCCAACAGAAAAGAAATCAGTCTTTAGTGGAGTCAGTTGGACCAGACTACTCATAAGATATACTGAGCCATCCAAAGGAAACTGCAAAAAAGGATAGCAAATTATATAAAAACTAATATTAAGAGTACAAAGAATAGAAGAGAAAGAAGATATTAATTACTGATATATATAAAGTAGGAATCAAAGTAATAAAGAGGAATTAGAATTACTCATTTATGTCTGTTAAATGTTGGTCTTAATCACTCCAGAGAGGCTGATATGACCAGAAGGGAGACCATCTAATTAACTAGTATTTCTTTCTTTAGATTTAGGCATGTAACTCACTCCAATCACCACAAGCATCCCATATAACCTACAAAAAGGATCCTGAAAGTGATCTGGAAAGTGTCTAAGTATCTGAAACAGGCTCCTGCCCCAAACTGCCCTTGGTGGGGCAGGGGGGTTTCTTTCTCTGGATTTGTTTTGTTGTTTCACCCTTGGTTGTGTGTCCAGACCATGAAAGGCCAAGGTCATGTTGTCCCTCTTGTCCCTGTCTTCTCAGTATCCACAAGAAGAAAATCTGACCCCACAGACCAGTAGTGAGACACACCACAGGAGGTCCTCCAGTTGGGCAGAAAACTCTTTGGCATAGTTACTCTCCCAGGGTGGGTCCAAAACATGTGAAATTCACCCAATTGTTATTGCCATTGCAACTCATCCAAGGTGAAACCTGCATTCCAAGCCACTAAGTCATCCCAGACTCTACAATGCTTAAATGCAACTGATAAAAACTTGATTACTTACATCACATCTAAATGGTGAAATATTGACCAATTTTTATACACACACACATTTGCATACATGTGTATCACAGGGAGAGCAAGTGCACTCACAGACAAGTAGTGGCATAGTAATGTATGCCTTTTGAGAGAACCCAATTTCACAAAGTTCAAGACAATTATAAAACCTCATCAGTGAGAAGAAAGAAGTTAAACAGAGAAATGTGAATGATAATTGGAAGACGTTTGAAAACAATGTTTAGGCCTACATGTCATTACTAAGAAAAGTTTCTCTGGTTGAAAACAAACAACTGCAAACAAAAACAAATTTAGTCTAGAAGGGAAGCAGGTATTTAAAAAACAAAAGCAAACACAATATGTAAGGAGCAGTGGAAAAAATGCCAAGCTGATTGCAAAGAATATCAATAGGAGGTAATTATGAATCAGAGTCAACAATCCATACGTACAAGACAGAGAATTCACCTAGGTCTGCAGGGAAGCTGCATCAGCTCTGCCAAAGACAACTCAAGGTCACTTTGCAGAGCAAATGTGCTGGCTGCTCACATAAACACAGTTTTCTTTAGGGAAACACAACTTGAGTGCCAGCTGCCTGCACTATCCCAGGCACCCCATCACATACTCCCCTGGCTTTACTCTGCTCCAGCCAACTCTCAGCTCTGTCCAGTTTTGACACAACACTTTATGAGAGCCACATATAAATTGGAGAGTACTTATAATCACAAATATCCAAATAGGCAGTTTTCTTTGCAGAGAAAGACTGAGGAAACTTTACATATTTAGTCTAGAAGGAAAAGGCGAAGAAGTACATAGCTGCTGCCCTTCAGCATCTAGACATCACAACACCCCATTATTTTTCATGTATGCCAAGGAAAGGGACATAATTATGGTGAAATCAACTGAGATTTGATATAAGGAGAAAACTGTGGGAGTAGCAAGTTACTTACACATATGAAAACATATACACACAGAGGTCATCAAACCCTTTTAAGCTGAAGCTTGGAAGGAAAACTTTAGCAAATTTTTCAAGGATAACAAAGTGTGTTTGATCTATCTCAACCCTTGCAGCAGAAGAAATCGAAATGCCTTTCATCTCTGTATTTCTGTAACTCTTTCACATAAGATTTAGAGACTAGATAATAAGACCAGTCATACAGAGTTCAAGTTTGCATGCATCTCATATACAAAATAATTGTGTTTGAAAGGAGAGCAGTCCAATGGATACAGGAATACACAGTGACAATCTGGAAACCTAAATTCTATTAATAGTTCTGCCAGTCACTCATTGTCCAATTTCCCTTTTTTTTCCCTTTCCCACATAGAAAACAACACTTACAAGCTAAACAAGTGCTGTTAGCCTGCTTAATTATTTTTTGAGAGGTGACAAACTGTTTAAAGTACAGGACTACTAAGGATCTGTGTTTTAATTACACTGATTTCATCCTAAGTGTCCCTGGATGACAATTGCTCAAAGCCTTAGTTACAGTGGCAAAAGACTGTCATATTAAATCTGTGAAGACCGGGCTATTATGACAGCAAATTATGATGACAAAATTCTGTTAGTTCAAGTCTAATGAAACATCACTGCACACACTGGGATGAATGTTAAATTATTTCTGTGCAGGTCTATGTGCAGGTTAGTAGATCAAGATGATGGCAAACTGAAGTTAATGCAAGCCTGCAGAGATGACATTACAAATGGCAAGATGATTGCAAAATGAATGCTGCTGCAAGTGAACTGTGATTAAAAAATAGGTTTCTAAACACAAAAATGTGCTAAGGGAATGTAAAAATAAACCTACAGAAAATAAAACCAAAGACATTTTACTTAAAGCAAAAGACATACTGGATACAATTAGTGCTGCAGACCAATTCCCTGCCAAACTGGCCAACATTGATTAGGAGGGCACAAAGCCAGGATGAGACTGCCTTATAAGTAACTGCCAATAAATTCTGAGTAATGGTATCACTAGGACATTTTTTTCCACTAAAAAGATGTAATTCACTCTGTAGAAACATAAATAATTTTTGAAAAAGTGCTAAAGATTATTGTCCTATGAAAGAATCTTGTTTTATCAGGAAATTCCTTTATAAATGTAATCATATTGATATTTTTCTTTCTTGTTTTCTGGCAGGGTTACTAGTGCATCTCTGGAACCAGATTAATCATTAGGCCCAAAAGAAACTTGTTCACTCTCAGGTAAATTCAAATACATAAGATCCACAGCAGGATAAGATTAAGGAGATTAGATATTCAATATGCACAGTGCTCATAATATTTTAATGTGATTAGATCAGTAACACCAAAGATCTGCTAGTATATTTCCTTAGAGCAATGTTAGATTATTACTTCTAACATACAAGGAAAAAAAGAGTTCAAAATCTGAAAAAATCCTTCTCTTTACTTTCAGCATTTGAAGTCTACCCTCCTTGCTATAAAATTTTTATCTACTGGTAAATACAAAAGGTACACTTCATTTCTATTTTGGCAACAGCAGGTATTCTGTCTGTTCGAAAGACAAGTGTATCTATCTATTGTCTGACTCCCTATCTGTAATGTTTTCCATCTTATTATCACAAAAAAGATGTGATACTCAGCTCCTGATGAATACACAGGTGAATTGAAGTGTTTTGTTTAAATAACAGGCTTTGTCAAGTAGTTTAGGTAGTGCCTGACCTTTAGGTCGAAAGCAGGCATAATTTTAACCTGTCTAGTAGAGAAAAAAATGAAAAATTCCATATTATTTAAAGTTTATAAGTTTTTACTGGGCAAATTACACATACTATTCAGCAAAATAATAAAATGGCAAAATCCCACTAAAAATAAATAGCTCTTAATAAGGTAATTTATTTCTGAGATAAGTACAGTGTCTTGTGCTTTTTTTCAGATTTGTCTAAATAGTTCCATAGCTAATAAAGTAGTACTTGGAGCACAGAAAAGGAGATCAAAATGATGGTTCAGGGCTCCAAGTCACTCTGATTACAGACTGGAATTTGTAAAAGCCATTACCACTGCATACATTACGTTAAAATTCATGTGGGTTTTCCAGAGTCACACATACATTCCACCTGAAGGCATGGACTTTTTAGAAGACTGGGAAATCACCACATCCAGCTCCTCACTAATCTGTCTGTTGGCGTGGAACCTCTGCCAGCTGAAGTTACCTGGGAGTCTGAACTGAGCCCTGGAAAGAAATCACAGACTGAAGTAACAAAAGATGAACCACACAGTGCTCCCTCCCTCCCTGCTGATTTTAATCTTACTAAATACACTCATTCCAGTGAAGATATGCATTCTGATGCCAATAAGATCTCTAAAATTTACTGAATTCAGTGATGTTTTATAATACAGGAAAAGAACAGATGATGGGAAAAATTACTAATTTTTTTTAATCATTAAGGATAAGGAACAGCAATCAAAGTCACTTTATTATAAGGATATAGAAGAGGTCCAGCTATGGAGTTTGAAACTTAAAAAGTCTATTCTCTAAGGAATTATTTCAAATCTTAATTGCTTAAAAATATTTAATTTCCTCAATGCACCAGTTACAAGTTGGTTGTTTTATAGGCTTTTTTAGCCTCTTAGTTGCTTATGCAGCATGTTCCAAATGCTTATCAGACCCGTGTGTTGACAAAAGTCCAAAGGGATTGTGTGTTGTGGGTAAACAACTGCTTCTTTAAAATCACTTCATGTAAATTTAAAAATGCAATTTAGATCAAAACTGGAGCAGGTTGGTTATTAATATGAAAATCATAATGTTTTGCAGCCTTCTCTTTTACAGACCCACTAACGTACAGCCTGAGTAGCTACTTTCACAGGAGTAAAAGGCACCTCAAACTATTTTTATTCAATAAGTCTTGGCTTATGCTTGTTACATAAGTACAACTAGATGATATATTAACATTTGACAAAGTGGGATAAATTTAAAATTCTCTAAAATTCATCAGTCCATGGAAGACAGAGCAACATATCCCATATGGAGGAGAACAGCAGCACAAGGTTTCAGAGAATGAAGTATTAGTCACAACCTCTACAGGTTTTATGACAGCTGCAATGACTAAATTTATTCATTATTATTTTAGGTGCTTAGTGGTAATTTGCCTGGCCTATACTCACTCCTTTTTAAAGGCACAGGTCTTCTATTAATCTTGGGTTAGAATCATCAGTCCCAGCCAGACATTCCAGTCACTGAAACATTTTAAATAGCCTGTACATAAACACTTGACTTATCCCCTACTAATGCAGCACAAGTATGATTTCTTATTTCCTTCTTAAAAACAAAAAAATGATTTCAGATTAAAGTACTCTGTCACTCTTTAATCACTCCAATTACTTCTTTTCCTGGTTTGATAAATATATCCCTATAAAACTTCTCAAAAGGATATACTTGACCAGAATGCAGATGTACTAATGCCTGTCACTACAACTTAAATAAATATTTTTAAGTCAAAATATACAAATAGACTTAAAATGATTTAATGGTGGTGATACATGTTTCAAGTATAAAATTAATCAGAAAATGCAATAATAACTTCAGCTACTATGTAAAGCTGTTTCAACATCAGCTGAGTAAAAACTACCAAATGTAATGTCTATTATTTAAAAACCTCTTCTGGAACTAAAACCTAGTATGTCTAATCGTGGTACCAGTCTAATTTTCAGAAATCGCATAAGCATATAATTAGCAGACACAGATATGAGTTAATGGAGATATGTGTTTCACAGGGGCAATCACACATCCTCTGTCTGGTAGGGCTCTTTGAATGAGCCAGTGCACACACAGCACAGGGAAACCTGGCTTATGCAATTGAAAGAATTCTCAATACTGCCTCATTAAAGAACTTAGGGAAACAAAGATGATAAGAGATCCATTTTCACAAACAAACAAATCATTGAAACACAGAAGTGCCAAAAGCATTCAGCTTTCTCAAATGTGTAAGTCACCAGATGTATCACAGATGAAAGTCAGGACTGGTCAACATATATATAAAGTACACTGATTATCATTACATGGATCTAGAAAAAGAAGGCAACTCTCAAATTTCCTAATAGTGCTAAGGTATTCAGGGAAATAAAAGTGAAAGTTGACTGCAGAGAGATGCAGAAGAGGCTCAAAGTGTCAACTGGGCAATAAAAAAGACAGATGAAATTCAATATTGAGAATATGTGGAGGAAAAGAAATCTCAAATTTACGTACTCAGCATGAGCTCCAAACTAGTTATTACCACTCAGGAAAGAGATGCTGGAGTTATAAAAGGTCTGTGAAAATACCAACTCCATCTTAGAAGCTGTCAAAAAGCAAATAAAATGCTGGCCATTACTATGACAAAAATAGAGAGCAACATACAAAATATCATGATGGTATTATTTAAAGTCTTCAGATGTTCACACTTTGAATATTGTGGGCTGTTTTGCTTCCCCTATCACTAAAAAGATATAGCAGGAATAGTAAGGACAACAGAAATCATTGAAAGCTCAGGAGAAATGGCTGCCATGTAGAGAATGACTACAGAAGAGTCCTCAAGGTAAGATGAAGGGAGGGTGAATGAGCAGACAAATCCTCTGAGCATGAGAAGGAGGAAGAGGCTGCCCAGGGGATGCACACCAACCAAAGGAGCATGACAGACTCATCATTAAACCATGCTAGAAAGGGGCTGAGGCCCAACAGGCAGGTACAACTCCAGGAAAAGGGTGCTGGCACCACCCCTGACAGTTTTCCAAATTATCCTCTCAGTGTACAGTGGACAAAAAGAGCTGTCCCAATACTGCTCTTCCCCACGTGTGCTGGGAGCAAATCAGAGGGGTTGGCTCTGCTGCTACAGGAGCCTGTGGTGTGCATGCCTGAAGGGCTGTGCACTGCTGATTTCCAGGAGGATGCTGTGGACTTACAGAAGAACAACTGGAAATAATCAAGGGGCTGGAGCACACTCAGAGAGCTGGGATGCTTCACTTTGTAAAGGAAAAGGCTCAAGGGAGATAGGACTGAGTCTTGAAAAGCCTGAAGGAGTGAATAAGCTGCATAAGGAAGTTATTTACCTCATCTTGTAATACAATGACTTGATATATGATGCACAATTGGTTTAAAAGACAAAAAGAAAGTATTTATTCAGCCAGTGGGCTACCCACTTCTGGATTTTGCTGCACAAGGAGTTTATGGAGGCAGATGTTTATCAGCTAGTTTAAACCAGAGTTAGACAATTGATGGAAAGCAAGTAAACAGATGATAAAAAGGAACGGGGCCAGAATGTAACCTCTAGCATTTTTAATACAGTGTTTGCAGATGTAGTGGTAAGACAGAAAATGGATCTCAAAGTGTCCAGACCTACATGCTCTCCCTATCATCTCCTGTTGCCATTTTCAGGAGAAATAATCCTTAGCATGATGCACCATTGTTCTGACCCAGCAGGACATTTTGTATGAACTTAAGTTACAGGGAAAAGTAGACTACAGCTGAACATAGCTGAGGTGTGCTAAGCTGATGGGTCTTCAGAGAAGATTAACAGAGAACAATTTTTCACTGTCTCTTTTAGCACAAGGGCTGGATACAAGAGAGAAAAAACAAGAAAGAAAATCAGCTAGTGACTGGTTCAAAACAAGCAACAAGAAATACCTCTTCACACTGTGAGTAGCTAAGGGACAGGACTGCTGCTGCATGGTGTGGATGCCAAGGGCTCATGGCACTTGGCTACCCTGGGAGCCAGGTACCAGCACAAATGATTCCCTGGCACCAGCAGATATGGTGTGGATGTCAGGTGTCCTCAAACTAGTCCCCTCAGGCACACAGTCATTTCTCAAAGTAAAAAGGAGCTGGACACATCCCCTAGCTGTGCCCTACTTCAAGCACCAAGCAACACTCTGCAGACAGCATTACAGCAGCTCTTCTCACACCCACAATGCAGTCATTTCTTTATTTCCTCTGCCCCAGAGCCTCTCAGGTAAAATGCTGCTGGTAAGCTTTGATGGGAACAGTGGAACACAGGTTAAATCACTGGTATTATTCTTATCTTTTGTAGTTACAACCACCTCTGAATTTAATAGTGCTGCGTGTTTTAGTGCAGCAGTGTTTGCATGACAAAATACTAAAGAGCTTTCCACCTTTTTAACATATATCCTGCTTTCAAGGGCTTATAATTTAGCTGAGAAAATGCTCACAGCTGAAGATCAGCATTCAAAATCTCAGTGTGGAGGCAGCATTTCATTTCAGTTGTGAGAGGGAAAACAGTATGTCATTTTTATAACTATCAATAGAAGGCTTCTGTGGGGTTTTTGCTTTCTGGATTTTTTTGCCTGTTCTAAGACATCTTCCTCTTTCAAGTTAAGCAACTGGATGTATTAATAAGTGACAATCATTGATCACAGCATGGATAAGAAAAGATAACTGTCTTTAAAAAAAATGGTACAAAATCAGTGTACATTTTCCACAGCTTTACATGAAACACAAAGATCCAGTTCTGTAAAGCATAACTACAGAGTCATCACTCCCATGCAGTGCTGACAAAACTGTAAAAGGTTTTAAACATTGGATTCATACTTTTACATTCAGGAGAAAAGACAGATACTAACAGTAGGGATGTGTAAGACAGAGGAATTCTTAATTTATCATTTCCAAAATCTTGAAAGGAATCAAAAATCTGTTCTTTACTTTAGAGAAGTCATGGCTTAAAAGAGGATAACAGCCTTTCCAGTTCTCAAGTTTTGTTGGTTGTTTTCACTGATATGACTTCAGAAATATTTACTAATTATGTATTCATTATATCAAAACATCTTGTTTATTAACATAACATTTTAATTTCTTTGCCTTTCTTCCCATCTGCAGATATACAAAGAACTGGAGTTTTCTGCAGTCCCAAAACACGCATCACACACATGTACATCTCTGTGGAATTCAATTCCTGGCATGGGTGAATAAGAAGTTAATTCATTTTCAATATCCATCACCAGAGGTATTGAAATAATAAAATATTTTACTTCACTTAAGCTTGTGTGCCATTCCCTTCTCTCAAGAGCTTCATTAGAATGTGAGAAAGCAGAAGGAAATTACCACATATTGGAAATAACCATCCCTACAGATTAAAAAAATTCACATTGAACAGAAAAAAATTGATAAATACATTTGGGTATCTATGTACATATACACAAAGACAAACATATACATATAAGCAAACCACACAGCTTTAGTATTATTTTAGAGGAGATATATGGACATGGAAAATGTAAGGAAAAGGTAAGGTCCAGCATTCATTGCAACAGGGAGTTTGACAGAAATCAGATAATTGCTATGCCTAGCTCTAGAATGGGCTTCTAGGCAGCTTGGTTTTAATTTTTCTAGAATTAGGGAAAGCTTAAGACCACTGAAGTCTTCCATGGAGCCACAATACACAAGAGTAGTCCTGGCCTTATTCCACTGAGGGAGCACATCTCCTTCCTGGCTGACAGACTGCACAAAGCAGTGCAGAGCTCCCTAATGCACAGCGTCAGCCCAGACACAATTTGGTGATGGGGAATGCGAGTCACGAGCCACTGCACGAGCTCCTTGTGGTGACAGTTCCTCATTTCATTTCTGGGGAAACTCCTCATCGATCAGTCTTTGAATTGTCTGTGCCTAATCCTTATTCAGGAAATATGCCTTGACATAATCAACTTTATCAATTATTGCACAGTAGCTAATCTCTTGCTACAGAAGGCGTGATGGCATTACTCTGAGAATACTTCACCTGTCTCCTGTATCATTTCTAGACTTAACAGCCTCAGAGCTCAATATTGTTCTGAAATTTCACTGATGGTCTCCTCTGGGGCATTATTACCAGATTACTCCCATTATCTGATGACAGGCTATGTTATAAACATACACAGTTGCATGAAAGATATTAATTGCAATGTACGCTCTTCTGCAAAGCTCTTGCCAGCAGCAATCTCAAAATTAAATCCCTTAAATGCTGTTTTCATATGCACGGATATCTTCAGAATATTCTCATGGCAGTCTGTACCAACAGTGGTATGCTCAGCTTTCAAGTGAATCCCGTGGTCCCTTCCAGTTGTCTACATGGGAGAATTTGTGCAAGGTAAGGCTGCATTTGAATTTACTGCTCAGCAGTTACTGCAGACAACTGCTCATGTGCACCACCTCATGTGAGGAAGCTCTTCTGCCTCAACTCAGAAATGGTGTTGCACAGGGGTGCTTTTGAGGCTCAAATAAAAATGTCAGATGAGGGTTAAGCTATTTTCTCACAGTAGAAATCATGCTGGTGTTTTTCGTGTGCTTTTCTTCCCCTATAGATATGCCCTTATAGATTATCTTTCCATGTCCTTAAACTGTGTTTTCCTTCAGCCTCACCTCCACTATTTAAAAACAAAATCCTGCCATTGTAAGGTAAAGATTTATTGACTCCATCAAAAATATCCTAAGTTTCAAGTTCAAGAGAGGCCGAGGTTTTGGTACATAAAGCTTGGTTTCATTTGCCTGATCCATTCTGCAAAAAGCCTATCCTAGCAATTTCTTTTCATAGCAAAATTCTTAGAAAACAGCTGTAAGCCTTCAGTGTCTTAAAGGCATCTATTAAAAATATTTCCCTCAAAAAGTAAAGTACTGCCAAACATACATCCTCTTATATACAAATAGCAGTCAGTTCATTCAAATGTGGCTTAAGAACTTCCATGAAAGAGATGCATCCTTGAGACAAATATGACATGAGATTCCAGAACTGAAAAAAAAATTATTTTTGGGGTAATTTTTAACAAATCTGCCTCCATTTGACCAGATTTTCTTTTATTAATTGACAGTTTTACAATTCTTCCTGGGGAGGGAGAGAGGGAAGGGAAGGAAGGAAGGAAGGAAGGAAGGAAGGAAAGCAAGAAAGGCAAGGAAGGCAAGGAAAGCAAGGAAAGCAAGGAAAGCAAGGAAAGCAAGGAAAGCAAGGAAAGCACAAACAAAAAGAAAGAATGAAAGAAAGCCCCACAAACAAAAAAGTGTTTTATTACATATGTCTCGTTGTAAGATGTGGAGGTACTGAAAACAGGGAGACTCCCCTCCCCACCCTGCTGCATACATGCATGCTTGTACACAGACACATGCACTAGAATACCAGTTTGAAAAGATACAAAAAAAAGAGACCCTGCAGAGTCAACATTAGTGAACTTTAGGAAGCATGTAAAAAGACAACAGAGAAAACCACAAATATTAAAATCCATGCCCAGGGGTTGAGAGAATCAGGATAAGAGGTTCCACACTCATCTATGCTGTCAGAAACACTCTCCTGGGATAGGGCAGTTTAATGATGCAGGGACTGCCCACAGCAGAGGTGTGCATGCCCAGCTTCATTCCACACCCTGGCTCACCCTCCTGCCACTGGTCCCTTTGTAATTGACTCCTGGAAGACCTTCAGAGGCTTTGTGAAGGCAGAATGGGGAATAAATGCTGCGTGGTGGGGGCTGGCTCTTGGGAGGAACATTCCTCTGTGGCCCAAGCCTCTTGTATCCCCTCCTGTAAAACCGAGGTGTCACTGTCTGTAAAATGAACATTTCTGGCACAAGAGCCTGGGTGCGGGGTGATCCCCATAGTCCCTGGGCTATAAACCCCTCAGGAGCAGTAGCCCTCCTCTCATCAGACTCGTGCAGCTTGGGCAAAAGCAGTTTAAAGGGTAATGATGGGCCATCAGCCAGCACATTTATAAACCCACACCACTTGGAGCAAATTCCTGTGTGACACAGGATTAGAGAATAAGATGCAGAGCGTGGCAGCACCCAGGCCAAAGTAACCCCAAGGGCTCCATCCTGGAGCAAGGAGGAAGAAACCATTAAAACCAATATCACTCCCCTTGCAGCAAAGGATTTGGGGAGGGAGAGGGGAGGGTGCAATGATGCCCTGAATTCACCTTCTCCAGGATGGAACCTCCCCCTTTGAAATGCAGAGGGTAACAAAGAAGTGAGATAACATCAGAAAAAAAGGGGAGTAGGAGAGTACTTAGCTACTGCATATACGACCATAAAGTATTCACAGCCTAGGATTCTTTTATTGGACTGAAAAATATTTAATTAGATTAAGAAAACCTGCTGGAAGGTTTCGCTCCTTCCACCCACAGAAACACTTTGAGTGTATCAGACTGGTGAGAATCCAATCTGCAGCTTAGGTGGAACAAAGCTCTAATGGACTTCTGACAGACCAAAATAGCCAGAAGTTCCACAGGTAATCTAGAAACAAGATAATTAAAGAATAATGCATCAAAAAAAAGAAGAAAAAAAATCTTGGCTCAAAAATCAGCCTGATTTGAGGCAGTATTTTGTCACAAAGATTGAATTGGTTTCTTGTTAAAATGGGATTCTTATGACATGAAAAGTAATCTAAATTATCAGTAAGAATGTTGACAGGACCAGAGCCACAGAAAATGTGTCTCAAAAGGCCTTAGTGATTTTTTTGGTATTCTGAAAAAATGCTAGATGGGTAAAATAAGTCACCTCCAGAAGACTATAAGGGCAAGCTGTAGGGAATAGGGATTTAGCTGGAGGGAAAGATGACATGGTATTAATAATTACTGGGCTCCCTGCCAGTGAATGGGAGAGGCCTTTCAGAGACACCCCAAAACTTAGACCAGTAAATGCTGGTCCATACTATGCAAGGTCATCCTTAAAAGAAAATTAAACCAAAGCAACAGTAAAAGAAACAAGAAATAGGACCCTCAGAAAAGAATACATTCCCCTGATTCCTCTTAATTATGCAAAAATAAGACAGGACTAATTGCTATTATCTAACCAAATGCAGACTGGGAAATAAAAATAAGATTTTTTTTCCCCAAAACGCCAAGAGCCATGTATTGTAAATCTCCTCCCTCTTCTTCCAATCACATAATTGAAAGGTTATTTGCATTTTTTATAAAATACATGCTGTGCCTTGCAGTCCTCAGGCAGAGGTGTATTCCGAGAGGAGGAAGCACACTGGAGCTTGCACTGTCAGATGATGAACCCCTCTCACGTGCTGTGGCTCAGGCATCCCTGCCAGATCAGAGCTGCACTTTGCCATGTAATGAAGCAACTTAGAACAACTTATTCAAAGCCTTGAACTTAATTAGCAGTAGAGCGAGGCAACTAACTTGCAGTGAATAAATTGTCAACTTTGCTTCTTTCTATTCATGAACATTCTATGATTAGCACTAATTATTCTTATAATTATTCAAATTTAATTCACCATATTATTAAAATAATATTTAGTCTACAGCTCATTCACCAGGAGCATGAACGTTATAAGTGAGATTATTAATTCTGAATATCTGATCACATGGTTCAAGGTGTAAAGCTGAGTCAGAGTGTCCGGGCAATTGCCTACAGCACTGAGCTTTACATTCACTTCCCTGCTTTATACTCTGAACTCTGAATAAATGTTGGATAAATTGTCATTGGTCCACTTATTTGCTAAGCACTTCTGGAAGAGGAACATAACTGAGGCAAAAGTAATACATGCGAGTGTTTGTAAGGGGAAGGGAGATACAGGGGAAAAGTTACAGATGGAAAACACTTGAGTAGGGTTTTTCACAAGTTCAAACACCACAGCTCTGTGACTGAAGCTGTTAGCAAGCTCCCAGTTAATAGCATTCCTGTCGATAGGAAGAGAACTCATGAGAGGATGCTTCACTCAAAACTGTACTTGTAAGAATGCTGATAAATCTAAGTCAACGTTTAATAACCCAGGGCAACTCCAGGACAGGTAAATTCTTAATACCTAAAGCACCCAAAACAAGAGTTTGCTGCCTTGTTTTTTGTGCTGCCCTGAACTCCTTCCAAGACCTCTGGTCTTAATTTTTTTTCTTCTTTTCTCCAAAGGATTTATTTCAGAAGATCAACTGCAGTTATGGTCTCCCCCCTGTGCCTGCTGTGGTGGGTGAGGGCAGAAATCTGAGTGCTAAGGACAATTTGGATTATGGAATAAATCCTTCCTTCAAAGACAGAGAGACTTTTTATTACAGTCTATAGTGACAAGGCGCAGTGCATTTAAATGTAAAGACA